TTTCCAAAAACCCGTTCTTCATACTGTGACACCAATCTTGCCTAACTTCTCTTGGACTAAGCAATGCTTTTTCACACACTTCCCCTTTTCATATGCAGTTCTCTTGTTCAAATTCCCCCAGCCTGAGCACCCCTCCCTCCCAGAGTCACCTGGTAAACACTGTCCAGTCTTTAACTTCCTAAGCTGCTCACAGATCGTCACACTTAGAAATCTTCTTTGATCACCTCCTCCCCAAATTGAATATACATTCCAGTCTCTTTATTCACCAGTCATATATGTCTGGTTTTGTGCTTATTCTAGTACATGTAATAATTTGTTATATGTGTGTCCTCTACTTGACAATAAGTTTCTGTAGGTCAGTAGCAGTTTGTATTCTGCTTTCTATAACTGTGCTTAAACACAGCATGATATACATGGATGGCTTCAACAAATATTTCTGGACCTTCCTCGAAGCTTCCTAAATGTTACCTAGGAAGTGTGAATGTCCCAGCTGAGATAAAGAATCATGGAAACTGCATACGTGTAGTGGAAGATGAAGACAATTGAATAATGATAGCCATTTATTGGTTGCTATATTTTTATGTTTATTTCTATTTTATTTATTTGTTATATATGTATTACATATTATATAATATATATTATGTATTTATTTACATTTATATTTATTTATTGTTGTCTTGTGCAAAACACCATTCAACAATTTAATGTGCTCTCTCTCACTCCTTCCTCACCATACCCTATTTAACAGGGGTTATCATCACTCTCACTTTATAGATGAGGAAATAGAGAACAAAAAAGTTAAATCACTCGTCAAAGGTCAGATCCTAGCAAGTGGAGAAGTCAGGACTTAAATGAACACAAGTCTGCTTGACTTCAGAGACCTATATTCTTAAGTCCAACTGACATTTAAGCTTGAGGGAAGTTCCTGGTGCTGATTCAGACTTGTGAAGCATGCTATTGTGATTCAGACGTGGTTTGTGGGCAGCAGTGTGCAGGTGATCCTAACCACTCTATCCATGGCAGTGCTGGGGTCCCAGAACAGCCTGCCTATTCCAGCAGCTTGGTGGCTCTTATTGACCAGAAGCCACGGGGTCAAATGCTAATTGTCTATGAAGGGTCTGTTCCTCAGTGATTTGTCCCAGGGCCAATTTGGAGGGGGAGCCCAGAGTGAGCCAATGACTGCAATGCCAGACACTAAATTATGAGTGGAAGTGAAAGGTGAGGAGGACAAAGTTGAGGAAATTGAACCAAGTTGCCAGGTCTTGAGCAATTTCAATCCCAGGGCTCTGAGCCAAGGACAGGCCACTCTGCCTAAAATAAACCTCCCAAGAGAATCCTAACTGGTCATTTTGCAATATATATCCTAGTACCAACTTTTTAGGTCAATGTAACTGCTTGGACCCCTGTTATACATTAGCACCATGAGGGATTTTATCTTCCGCTGAGATGAGGCAAGCCCACTAGAAACAATGAGCCAGCTGTAAAACTCAATATGCATTTCAGTGCCAACCCGTGCAGGAGCAACCGCAAAGCCGGCTGAAATTCAAAGAAAGGAGAGGTCAAGGTGTGCTCACATAGCTAGTGGATTCTCAGAGCATATGAACTTGGACATGGTCTCAGGAAAGGCAGGAAGACAAAAGAGAGAGGGCAGCATTTTAGGTAGTGTGAAGAAGAGCAGAGTGAGCATAAGTGAGCAGGGAGAATTGCTGAGCATTGTCCTCAGCAGAAACAAGAATGAATTATTTCTTGGTCGGAGAAGAAACTCTTCTGCGGAACAAAGGGTTATTATGGGAGAAGAATGGGGGCTAAAGCTAAATGGGTTGGGAAGATCAGCCAAAGAGATCTTCGAAAATATTAGGTCATGCAAATTTTACATCCAAAATCCAGTAGCTTGTCATCTTGAGTATCCACTGACTGCAGTGAATATAACATAGTCCCTCCTCTATCATGCTTCCCAGTCCACTGCAGAGGCCATCCACCAATCCCACAGTTATCTGTTAAGAACCTACTATGTGCCAAGGATTATACTAGGTACTGGGGACACAATAAAGAGCAAAACAAAAGTTCCAGCCCTCGTGAAATTTATCCTCCACTGGATGTGAGAGACAATATAAAAACCACTCCCATTGCTCTATCAACATCCAGTTAGGTAGTAAAGATCTGTAAAGATAAACACAGCAGAACATTGAGCAGAGACTGGTGGAATGGAGTAGTCAGAGGCCTCACCAAAAAAAACGGACACAATATTTCAAGCCCAGCGAACCAATAAAATGGAGTTGGCACTGCAAGAAATAAAGATACTAAGAAAAGGATTTAGTTTGAAAGAGTACAGAGAAGGTGAAGAGTCTTGTTTTAAAAGTGTGTCAAGTCTGTGATAACAGACAGAAACATCTAAACTCCAAAACTAGTCTGTAAGACTAAAGGAGAGTAAGGTTACATGTGTAAATTTTAAAATCATCCATTGAGAGTTGGGGGTGTAGCTCAGTAGCAGAGCATGTGCTTAGCATGTGCAAGTCCTTTGGTTTGATCCCATGTGCCTGTAAGCCCCCGTGGGCGTAAGCGCGCACGCGCGCGCACACACACACACACACACACACACACAATCATCCATTGATATTTGAGTGATAAGGTCTTCTCTCTAAAATTGACTTATAGGAAATGAAAGAAACTCAAGGATTAAAGCAATTTTAAAAAATGGACTTAAAATAAATAGGGTTTTTTTGCCTATCTCCATAATGACCCCCTGCCTCCAGCCTCCTGGAATTCCAGGGGTAAGGAGTGACTTAGTGCAGGTGGCAAGAGCCATCAACAAAATAACAGTGTTAATAATTGAGGTTCATACACAATAAACTACTTAAAAGACCTCTGTCCCCTGTCTCTTCAATATCCAAGGCACAGTATTAGGGACAGCTCTTCCTCTTTGGCACTTACCCCTTAGACCACATATTGCCTCTTTGTGATTTTCTTCCTCTACAGATGGCTGTGGGTGTTTTAATGTGTAGGAGAAAGAATTTGAAAAGCAAAATAAATAAATTTTAAACTGGTCCTTCCAGCATTCCTAGAAAGGGCAAGAATTAAATGTTGATAGACTCAAGGGTAGTGCTATGGTGTGGATATAGTTTAAGTATGTCCGCTACAGTTTCATATGTTGATTTTGAATCCCCATTGTGAGTTATCAGGGGTGTTAATCTGAATACGGTATCTACAGGTGGGGCTTTGGGTGATTAAGATTAGATAAAAGCTCCCTCATGCAATGTCCTATATCATATGAGGACTCCACCAGGAAGAAGGTCATCACCACATGTGGCTCCTTGATGTTTGTAAATTCACAACCATGAGCCCAAATCAACCTCCTATCTTTAAAATTTACCCAGTCTGTGATATCAACAACAACAAAAAAATGGACTAATACAGGTAATTCTCTGCTCAGAACTGACTCAGTTTTAACACTGAAAATAGTACATCTCAGAGAATCCCTCAACCCTGAGCACATGACTGACCACCCTCAGGCTTGGTCTGACCTTCATAGCTATAATATGTGCCTATGTGTGATGCAACGCATGTTTTACTTCTCTAAAAGTGACGTCAGCAGGGTCAAGACACCTTTTTGGTTCCCAAGCCTTACCTAACCTTCCACACCCAGCCATCCCAGGAACTGGGTCCTCTTTCCTTGCTGAGAGAGAGGAGGGATGCTCAAAATTCCTAGGCATGAATTGTCCCTGATTCCCTGACCTTCTACTCCCAAGACCTTCTACTGATCCTCAATTACCACCTAAACCAGCAACACCAAATCTCCCTGTGACCTTAATCCACGGCATTGCTGCACCTTCTGCCCAGCAAGGTAGGATGGTGGGGGTGGAGATCTGGGGGTCAAAGTCAGACAAAGAGAAAAAGAAGCAAGCTCATGGGAACTGGTGTTGTGCTCTAACACAGCAGATCACGCTAAAGGGGAACCCCCCGAGAAGTGACAGCCTGCTGACCATGTAAGAGGTATGCTTTACGTCTTCGAGTTACAGAAACACAGGAAATGCTTTCTGCCCCATTTCGGAGTTTTGGGCTGGAAGCTGGCCTGACTCACCTTCAGAATGAAAACCAGGGGAGGGCCTTCAAATCAAGGTCACATCATACACTCTTCCAGGAGCCACCATGCTTGGAACACTCCCAAATCATTTCTGCCAGTTATTAGAGAATGCTACGAAGTTATAAGGAAGATTCAAAGAAAATGCCAAGACTTGGCTTGATTCTTGTTTCAGAATTTTCCTGCTGGTCTAGGTTAAAAGAACAATAGTCAGGGGACATAGTCCTAAAGGGATAATCCCCGTTTGACCCCTGGTCACTTTGACTGCATGTGTACAGATTAAAGTGCAAATCTTAAATTAGCTATTTAGGTAACCTTGACTCACAAATCCTCACCTGAATTACTAATAGCCAAAGCAAAAGAGAGTTGTTATGATTTCCTTTTTTGACTGAATTATCTGGGGTATACCTCAGACCCACCCAAGTAAGGCAGCCCCTTCCACTGTAGCGGAGCTCAGTGAGGCTCAGCCAGACAGACTGGACTGTGAAGGCTGTTGCAAGATTGCATCAGTGACCTTTGCAATTTTCTGGCCAATGCCTTTCTCCACTCCTCCCCCTATCTTCTCCCTGTCCCTGTTTAAAGCCCTTTGGCCTATTCTCTTCTCCTTCCCCCCCGCCACTTTGAGAATTATCTGGTATATCAATAACCAAAGCTAAATTAGAACCCAACTTGCCCCCCCACCCCGCAGCGGATTATGTTTAATCCTAGTCAAATTATCCCATTAAGTTCCAAGTTTTCAATTCTGGGAATATTTCAATGAAATTGACATGGGTGCATTAAAATAAGTTGAAAATCATGATCTAGAGCTTAAATGTTCTTTATTATCATTAAGAATGAAACTAGATTATCCTATAAATAAAACTCTGGGACAATATGGTATCTTTTATTTATATACGCCATGCTATAAATAGGGAAAATATGATATCTGGGATGCAGGGATAAAATTTGAATCCTATAGTCTCAAGCTTCCAAGAGTATCCACCCTGGTTTCTTACCCAATCTGTCTACTTCACCCCCTCCTGCCCTATACTGCTTCTATGATACAGCTGAGCTGGCACAGTGAACTTGTACCCCCAGATCCAGGGAAGTGGCAAAGAATCATTGAAATATTTTCATTCTAAAGGAGCAGACAAATTTTTACTAGCAGCTCCCTTCCACGCCATGCCTGCCCTAATGAAGTTGTCATTTTTCAAATGGGAGGGAGAACAACTTGGATTTAATGGCTGTTCCATAGAAACACCCTACAGGTAAAGGGACTTACCCCCACCCCACTACCTACCCCTACCTCTGCGCATAAAAGGCACCCTCAATGATTAGTGTTCTGTTAAGTGGCTCTAGCAATGCAGGCACCTACGGAGGCAGCTGCAGCTGCGGAGAAGGAAAGCGCCAAGGCCAGCCCGAATAAAGCCAATCAGGCAGAAAGGCTGTGCACCTATCAACGCCACTATAAAGTGTCATGTCAGAAATGTATGCCGACACCTCCCTAGGTCTTTCCAGCCGCCCCAACTGGGACTTGGCGTGCAGACCTGCCCTCCCGCCCAGACCGCTGCAGCAGCCCCGTCCAGGGTCTCCCAGATCACACAGTCAGGTCGTGCGCAGCTCGTGGCCACCTCCCGCCAGGTTTCTGCGGGGGTTCCACCCCCTCCCCCTCTTCCTCCCCTTCTTCCTCCCCCTCCTTTCTCTGGCTTGTGCAGCGCTGGCCCGGGCCAGCAAACCAGGAGGCGGGTCTTCGGCAAAAGATATAAGCGGCCCAGAGACGCTGACGAGGTGCCAGCTGCGGAGTCTCCTTCTGGAAGAGCTGCAGCTGCGGAGAAGGAAAGCGCCAAGGCCAGCCCGACAGACGGACGCGCTGACCGCCGCTGCGCCGCCGCCCCAGCTCGCGCTGCGCCACCAAGGTAAAGCCCGCCTGGGCACGCAGACCCGGTCAAGGGCTGGGCGCACTGTCCCGGGGAGGCCTTGCCCAAGAGAGCCGAGGGAGGGGTGCCCAGGAAGCTGGAGCCACCTTGGGGGACTAAAGGTTCCACGTTTTCTTCTCCACTCCTCCTGCAGGTAACCCACTCGCTAGAGCCCGGACCCGAAATGGAAACGGTCCAGGAGCTGATTCCTCTGGCTAAGGAGATGATGTCTCAGAAGTCCAAGGGGAAGCTCGTCAAGCTGTACGTGCTGGGCAGTGTGCTGGCCCTCTTCGGCGTGGTGCTGGGCCTGATGGAGACAGTGTGCAGCCCCTTCACAGCAGCTAGCCGTCTGCGGGACGAGGAGGCAATGGTGGCTGAGCTGCGGGGCGCTCAGGAGCGACAGGCCCAACGCAGGCAAGCCCTGCTGGAGAAAGGCAAGCAGCCAGAGGAAGCCCTGCTCGGTTGCCGGGCCCACTCCCACCGGCAGCATGCCTCCTAGGAACTCCAGATCAGCAGAAGGGAAGGGGGGACAGACAGAAAGACAGACAGACAGAGACAGACAGACAGATCCTGACTCAAATGGGAGACAAGAGGAGCCATGTGCCCTTTGAGAGAAGTCACTGACACCTAGAACTGACCTGCCACGTGGATCCACCAAAAGGAGTTTGGGATTGAGTTTTGCTGCTATGCAGCATTGTGTTGTGATAATATATCCAAAATTGTGTATCTGTAAGCTATCTGAGAATCTATTGTTTTGCACTAGGGAAGAAGGAGAAATGCTTTTTGTACTATTATTATTATTTTTATTATTATAATTAACACCATTTTGCATTTTGAAATAAAAACGTTTTATACTGTATCTCATAATTTAATTCCTGAAAGATGGGGTGACCTGGAATGGGCAGCATGGAGGGTGGGCACGCTGGTGACAGGTCTCCCCTGAGTACTGTACACTGAAGAGCTTTGGACACTTGCTTCATGGGGACTCTGATATTGCTATTATACATACATATCGAGGACTCATTTTTACTTCCCATTACAGATAGAAAGCAAAATTTTCATAAGTCCCACCAGAAGTATTTTAAGATCAGAAAATAAGTCAATTTCTGACCTAGAAAAAGCTAATGGAGATAACTGATGAATTCCAGGGCAAAAAAACAAAAACAAACATGTTTATTCTTTACACCTGTATGCTGGGGGTTCCTTACCATAGCTGCTGATACCTCTTTCTTCCTAACTGTATTTTCATGAAAAGAGAGAATAGAAGAGAAGAGAAAGAGAAGGTGGGAGTTTGGGAGAAAGAAGGAAACTAACTACCTGGTAGCCTAAGAGGCAAGCTCCCAAGAACACCTTATCAGATGAGGAGTCTTGCTTTACCCAGCCTTCCTCCCCAGGAACTTAAATTCTGGAACTTAAGTTCTAGGTTAGAAAGAAAATAATGATCATCACAGACCTGAGTCCTCTTCCTCCAGGGACTAGTTTGTTCTGTGACAAGAACTAACTCAGAAGCTCTGTAGGACTCAGCAAAGAGTTAGCCACCGGCTTGGGCACAGCTTGATACTCCCTTCTGGAACTATTAATATTGCCTATCCTAAATGGGGACAGATGCTTTACTACTGCTATTAATGGCCATGTATTTTTGCCAAACCTGATTCAGCTAACCCACAAACCATCCCTGTACACATATAGACACTGCATTTTATTTATTTCTGCTAGCTCAAATTCCACCCAACATTCCTGGACTTGATCAAATACTAGCTCCCCCTAATATCTATTCTTATCACCCCAAAGGAAAGAGTAGTAGGAATGTGTTGAGATTAATCAAGGAAAAAAAAAAACATATTTGTAGTTTTAGAGGAAAATAATGTCAGTGACACTACTGTTCTTCCTGTTTACTATATGGGATATTTGACCTCATATTGAGGCAGAGCCTAATCTTAAATGTCCAGAATCTTCCTAGGAATTCACCCAATCTAATCCTTCCATTCCAAAATACCTCTTCTATGTTCATACTCCTCTGCCCATTCAATCACCACCTTGTCCAGCTCTCAATAACTCAAACCATCCCCTACTTCTCTCTAGCATGTTCACCCTAAACCAACCCATTGCCAGACTGTCTTCCCTCAATACCTTTCATCTTGATGCTCTTTGGCTTAGAAACATCAGACTAAACTCCCCTGCCAGGTTTCAGTGCTCAACAATCTGCTCCCACCTCCCCCCTCCACTGATTTCTCAAACTACTCAGCAGGATACTCTGATATCTGGTATCCTGCTCTCTTCTGGTCTTTGGCACTCCATCCACATTACTCTTCCCACCTCAATGTACCTTCACCCGCAGTCTCTGCGCCTTCTGAAACTACATACCTCAAATTCTCCAAGAGGTAGAATTTTAAATAAATCTGCCCACTGTCAAACTATATATCAAATTATGTGCTCTGCAACAGACACTAGTATGGCAATATGTAAATCAATGGATGTGTAACTGATGTGATTCTGCAATCTGTGTATGCGGGGAAGGTGGGAGTTCATAACCCACTTGAATAAAAGTGTGGAATATGATATGTCAAGAAATTTGTAATGTTTTGAACAACCAACAATAAAAAATTAAAAAAAAATACAAAAAAAAATTATGTGCTCTGATTTTTGGTATAGATGGTAATTAATGCCTGTATTTGGGAGCTTGCCTATATATTAAAATATAGATGCTTAAATATAGAGAGAATATATATATATTTACTTAGAAGTTAATGCCCCATGTTTTCTCACTTTCTTTTTTTAAATATTTTAAATATTTAATTGATTTTATTTTTTAAATACATGACAGTGAAAAGCATTATAATTCTTATTACACATATAGAGCACAATTTTTCATATCTCTGTTTGTATATAAAGTATGTTCACACCAATTCATGTCTTCATACATGTACTTTGGATAATAATGTCCATCACATTCTACCATCATTCTCACCTCCTGCCCACTCCCTTCCCTCCCACCACTCTGCCCTATCTAAAGGTTCTCTATTCCTCCCAAGCTCCCCCTCCCTACCTCATTATGGGTCAGTCACCTTTATATCAGAGGACACATGCCAAAACATTTGGCATGTTTCCTCACTTTCAAATTACCCAACCCAATCATGTCTGAACTATGAAATTTTCTCTATCCTCACTGATCTTTTCATTGCTCTGAATTCTTACAGGTAATACAGTCTAGATTTCCTACTGGATCATTCAGTAGGGGGCTATTTTTTCCCCAGTTGTTTTGGGGGTTTTGTAATGTCTTTCATGGCCCCAAGGTCAAGGACCATGTCTTCTTCAGTGTTCATAGAAATTGCCAAGTCCTAGGCAAATAGTAGTTCCTTAACAAATACTTGGTTGTTTAATCAATTCATTTGTACAGTTATAGCAGTGGTTGTACACGGAAGGAAAAGCAACTTTGTCCTCACAGTTCACATTTGACAATGTCTAGAGAGAGATCTGGTTGACTGGTGGCAGGAGGGACACCACTGCTGTCATCTAGTGGGTAGAAACCAGGGATGCTATTAAACATCTTCTAATGCATGAGACAGCCAATAATTCTACAGCAAATAATTCTCCAATTCAAAACGTCAACATGGCTGAGGTTGAGAAAAGCTAAATTAGAGGTAAGTAAGGAGAAAGGTTTTGCCTAATATTTTCAGAATCAAGGTTTTGATGTAGTCTCATAAGATAATGTCTGGTTGCAATCAAATTTATAAGTAGCTGCACCAATCGTCCTTGGTCCTATTCTATTTGGTAATCTCATCAACAAGTAGGAACGGTGTCAGAAGGTGTACTTAACAGTTCTGTTGGTGACACAGAGCTGGGATAGCAGAGTCAGGATTCAAAATAACAAGCTGGAACCATGCATGTATGTAAACCAATTGATACTGAATAGGGAAGATGATACGGTATAGAATTTACGTCCAAGAAAGTCAATTGTACGACCCCTGAATTAGGAAGGCTTATTTTAGCAGCAGATCGTATAAAAAAGACCTAGAAATTTTCGGTGATTACAAGCTCATTAAAGCCAACAAGAGCTTGTAATTGGACTGCTACAACAAATTAATTCCTTCTTAGTAGAAGTAGAATGTCCAGGAAAAAAAGGATAGTTGGTGACTTTGTTATATGTTGCAATCAGTCAGGTTGGAAAACAAAGAAGTTAAATCAGACCCCCTGGATTTGCTTGGGTTTGACTCCTGGCTCCCCTATTTGCTAGCTCTTAAAACCTTGGAAATGTTACTTAAACTCTGCCTTAAGTTATAGCCTTTCCTACCTACAGAAGGTACCTTCTTCAAAGGATAATTTTGCTGATTAAATGAGATACTAAATGTCAATTCTTAGAGCAGTACCTAACAGATAGTAGACTTTCAGTCAATGATATCATTATTACCAAAATATTATACTTTAAGATTATTTGTTGATTAAGCTCATCTAACCAATGCTTTTGCATAAAATGCCTTACATAGTGGTTGAAGACACAGTTCTCAACTCTGATCAAGTGAAACACCTATTAGTTATCTTGTCCTTTACAAAACACCACAAAACTCTGACCTACTCATATAAATAAATATATAATCATGCTGTGCATGGTGGTGCACACCTGGAATCCCAGCAATTTGGTAGGCTGAGGCAGAAGGATCAAAAGTTCAAGGCTAACCTCAGAAATTTAGCAAGGCAAATATGATATATCAAGAACTATGTAATGTTTTGAACAGCCAACAATAAAAAATTTAAAAAAAAAAAAAAAAGAAATTTAGCAAGGCCCTAAGCAACTTAGCCAGACCTTAATGTGACCCAGAGGGTAAGCATCCCTGGGTTTAATCCCCAGTACCAAAACAAAAAAATAAAAATAAAAATAAAATAAAAAATAAGGAAATACATAATATTGTACTACATCAGATACTATCTCACTATATACCCTAATGAAAACAAATAGTAGGTATCAATTTTGAGAATATTAAATATTCCCATATTCTTAGGAAAAGTTTGATTGTTCTTCACTCATAGTAATCAAAACCAGTTTAAAACCATTTGACTTAATCAATAACAACCCACTTGTTAACAATCTTTTACAAGCCAAAGGATTGGCCATCACTTATGCATACTAACCAATCAGGAATGAACTCACCCCATTAAATATATCTCAGTATGCCAACAAATCAACAAATAGGCATGCTTTTGCAGATGATGTCAGTCCACTTACATCTAGGAAAGCACACCAATCCCTGATCTTCATGCTCTCCCAAAACCCTATCTTGTATAAAATCAGCAGTCTGCCCTATTCAGAAAGATTGAGCAGCAAACTCACCTTACTATAATCAGCTATAAATTCACCTTTTACATTTTAACTCAGGCACTAAGTGGTGATCTCATCATTCTTTAACAGTTCTGTAGGGGTTACTGTGATTGTTTTAAAGACCTCTGCTTGGCAGTATTCCAGGGGACCCTTGGACCAACAATATTGATTGGATGTCTTCTGCACAAATTCTCTTTCTCTTCAGATCTATTCTCAGGTAAGTTACATCTCAACAATAATCTGAACCCTGACAAGTCTCATTTGTGTCGTTATTGTTTTGTGATTTGTAGCCAAGAAAATCTTTTAGATCATTTACTTCTATTTTTGTTAAAAAATTAGAAATTTTTAGCTTATAGGTATACTTTCTGGTAAACAATTATACCTAGACATTTGTATAAAGTCTAGTTACTGAGTAATTAGTCACAGGTCTTTGAATAAGATCACTTGACATTCTGTGTGGGAAGTATATTGTTAACTAGTTCAGGCATGACTCTTTTTTAATTTATGGGCATTTTCAGATGCATTTAATAGATCTTTGCATAAGT